GGGCCCCTGTCGGTGTGGGGGCCCCTGTCGGTGTGAGGGCCCCTGTCGGTGTGGGGCTCCCTGTCGGTATGGGGCTCCCTGTCGCCACATCAGCTTTCACTCAAGGTGCAGGATTTAAACCGAGGGACGATATACAAGCAGCCGTGTCCACTGATAAAGAAGAGTCAAGCATGCCCCGAAATGTTTCAGCCTGAACAACTATAAACCCTCTAGTTCGTGTCGGTGGAAAAAGAGAAGTGGTCCAAAGTCGGAACCACAGGGCACCCTGCGCCTTGGGCCACTGAACTTGGAGACACCAGTGGGAAAGATCGAAAGGGCACCGGTGACGGGTGTGAGAGCAGAAACACGGTGACTCGCCAGGGCACTTCCCAGAGGAGGGACAGCAGTGTCTAAGCTGGATGAGGACTCCCAGGGGTCGCTGCATTTGGCGTAGGCGGTGGGGAGGGTACACGCCCTGGGGGCCATGTCCTGAGCCTAGACCAAGCTCAGAAGGAGCGGAGATGAGCCAGAGGTAAGGCGACCCTTGTCACCTTTGTCACAGAGTCTGCTGTGAGGGGAGAAGGCGGCAGGGAAGAGGGTCAGGAGAGGACAGCTGGTGGGGGCTGGTCATTCGTTCGGATGGGGGAAACTTACTGATGGATGCGAGCCACTGTAGCTCAGGGAATTGTTTTCCTAAAGAAATGAATGACTCGGGCTGGGACACAGCTCAGGTGGTAGAGCGCTTGCCTAACAAGCCCTGGGTTGGATTTCCCCAACGTGGAATAAATCAGACAAGGGGGCACATGCCCAGAATCCCGGCACTTCAGAGGTGGGAGCAGGAAGTTCCGAAGTTCAAGATCATCCCCAGCCACACAGCAAGCTTGAGGCCAGGCTGAGATACACAGACCCAGTCTCTTAAAAAACAGATGGGAATGTTAGGTAGCTAGGCAGGTGTTCGCAGCCTTGCAGGCCATTACGAATGGACCGTTCCTTCCTGTTTCCCTGGCAACACTAGAAAGGGAAGCCCCTCTTTAGGATTTAAATTACCATATGAAAAGGTGGAGATAGCTGGGTTCTATTGAAGCCCATTAGGGACCTGACATTCTAAACTACCTAAAACCGGCACATACTGTTATCTCTTCCTCTTAAGAGTTAATCCAGCTGGGCCTGTCAATCACCTACCCAGGAGACCACCCCTCCCTAGAAAGCCGGTCATCCTGAAGCAGTGCCAGGGCTAACTAGCCCTGTAATAAGACAATGCATTTATCTTTCCCAGAGCCCCTCCCTCCAAGAGGACGCTTACAGAGCTTTCATAATGCAGCCCAGCTGACTCGCCCACTTCTTTTACTTGTCCTTTCCTCCTTTCTATTTTCTTTTTGGCTACTGGCCAAAGCCTGGGCACGCTTCCCCCACGCTCTGGGCGTTTTCAGCCCCTCTCTGCAGTGCCCGTTCCCCTGCCAGCCTCCTTTGCAAAAGGCCTGGGTTTCACCCTCTCTCCTGCCCGTCTCCCTCCTCTGAGCAGCCGTGGAGATTTACAGCTTGCCTGTCTTGTTGTTTTTCCTCTCAAATTCTAATAAAATTGTTCCGGAGAGCTTCCTTTTGATGAAGGAGACTAAGAATCCAAAAGAAGGAACCCAATTTCCCCGGCAGTTTAAAGTGACATTGATGGAACTCCAATTTCCCCAGTAACTTAGAAAGGCATCAGCGAACTCCGGTTTCCCACATAACAGAAGAAGAAGTGGGATCCTAACAAGATTAACAACAAAAAATAATCCTAACCACTACTGCATGTTTACTGTGCCCTGACTCTGTTCTAAACACTTTCCCAGCAGTAGTTCACTTAATATTCACAGTGACCCCCACAAAATGGTGTCACTAGAGCAGGCAAGCCGTAAATCTCAGCGGATGCTCAAGAGGAGGAAGATGAAGAGAGAGAGAAAGCCATGCCTTTGGAGTTAGCATCAAAGAAAGCAGACAGGCTCAACCCTCAAGGTCAGCAAGCAACCCTCAAGGTCAGCAAGCGGCCACACGGCCGAAGAGGGGTAGGAGCTCCAGGGAATGAGTGAGAAAAATAAAAACAGATAGATTTAAAAATGGAAAAGTTATGGGCAAAGCGCAGTAATAGGTTCTCTGCCCCACCCCCACCCCAGTAAGTTTCTCTGCTGACACAGTAAGCCAGCTCAAGCCAAACTGAAAAAGAACAACAGCAGGTTTATTGAGCAAAGCCACTCCCAAGCAGGTTTCCTGGTCCCAGAGAATGAGGCCAGAGAAGTTGCGTGCCCAAGCTAAAGCAGGGAGCTTTTCTAGGTTGTAGGTGAGGGGTGATGACGTGTCTGCCACACGCTCGTTGTGCCCAAGCATGGTCAAAAGCTGAGCACCTAGGTGAAGACTGGGGAGGCTGGCAGCATCAGGGGAGGAAGTTTCAATCGTCACCAAGAGTGCGGAACTGGGCTGTTTGGCGCCTTTCCTTTATTTGGAGCCTCTCTGAGTGGGCAGGGTTTGGAGAGATAGGGAGAGAGTCAGGAACGAGGCTTTCCACACCATGCAGGGGTGAGCTGGAGGCTCCAACAGAATACATAGTACCACATAAAAGAAGCTCTGCATTCAACTACATGGAAGGAGAATTTCCGGAAAGGAAGAGTACATTATGTCATTAAGGGGATAATTATTCCTCCCATACCCTTAACATGGCATTAGGTAGACCAGCCTTCTTGAAAGATGATCATCTGGCCAGATGACTAACAGACCCAGCAGGATCAACTGTCAAGCAAGCAGACAGGCAGATGTCATAGTCTGATCTTTGGGACTGATCAGAATGTCATGTTCCACTGGAGCCAGAGGTATCCCATTCTTTGACCAGAAGGCCTACTGAGTGACAAAACCGATGTGTAGTCTGCTAGTGTTGCCAGGGAAATAGGAAGTGTGGCCCAAAGCTGACCACCGGGGAAAAAGTCATCCTCAGTGGCTTGGAAAACTACTGTAACATTCCCCTCTCAAGAGTTGATACCCTAAAAACATCTAGGACCCAGACCAGGGACCAGAGCTCCAAATCCTTCTGTCATCTCTGGCCTCCAGCAAGGACAAAAACAAGAAGCTGACCCAGGCCCCTTTTCCTGAACTTCCCAACCCACTTCCAGCTCCCATTTTCATCAATAGGAATAATTATCTTCTCCAGTTTGGGGTGAAAAGGCATAAGTGTTAAGTTTCAAACCCAGACAAGCTACGGAGGAACCTCTTTAACATGTCAAAGCTGGACCTGGCCTCCAGGTTCTCCCAGCATCCCTCAGTCCCTACCTGTTACAGGGTATGGCTGGCATACCCAACCCCCCACCCTGAACTCTCCAGCCCAGGGGCTAGACTGCCCTTCCCCCAGAGGCTCTTCCCTATATAATCCAGACATTTTGGTTACCGGCCCCCTTCTTGGACCTTCGGCCTCCTGGCTGCTGCACACAGTTCCTCTCTTTCCCCTCCCCCCCTCCTCACATGGCACAGCTCAGTCTGGTCCTGTCCACTCTGGACTCTCCCAGATATCCCTGCCTCTATGTTCTCCCTTTTATCTATAATAAAATTTCTCCTCCAGCATACCTAGGAGCAGCCATGTCCTTTCCTTTCCTTTTAATTTCTTTTTTTCATTCATTAAGAACTTACCTTGCGCCGGGCGTTGGTGGCGCACGCCTTTAATCCCAGCACTCGGGAGGCAGAGCCAGGCGGATCTCTGTGAGTTCGAGGCCAGCCTGGGCTACCAAGTGA